TGCCGGGCCTTGAACACGCCGCTGTCCTCGCACTCGGGGTCGTACATGCCGTCGCTGTCGGACACCGCCTGGGGAGGTCTCCAGAGGCGCTTCTCCTTCAGGGGGATCATTTCTGCCTTCATCAGGAAGCATTTGGAAGTCAGGGTTGAGCAGTCTACAGGGTGATGTGAACCTGCCAGCCTGCAGGTGCAGTTCCCTGGGCCGTCCTGGGCACACACTGCCCACTTGTTGGTCGCACAGGTACAGCTGTCATGGGCTGGTGAAGCGACTGCCAGCAGCAAACCCAGCACAAACCCAAAGAGAGGCTCCATAGTGCAGGAGAAAAGCACAGATAAAGTCCTGAGCGACAGCAGGCAGCATCTAAAGCTTTAATCTACTGATGGAGGCTGCTCATTCCTACACACACTGGCGTGCTGCTCCCTTTATTGATTCAAATCAGACCCACCAAACAGGTTCTTCTTCCAAAACAACTGCCATCTCCTTCCCAAATCCCAGTCAACAGCTTCCCAGCTCCCTGTTAGCTCTCAGGGAGTGGCACCTGCCTCCAGCTGCCTCCCTCGCTCCTGCTTGATGAAGAAACAACAGGGAAGAAAAGAGCAGCCAAGCTCCTGCCATGGGCTCCCGTTATGGATTAAAGACAAGCAGCTGGCCCTTTTCCTTATTTAGACTTTGTATGGACTGTATGCAAATGGCTGTTTAAGAGGTTCTTCCACTTCTGCAGGAAGTCCTACTCCTCCACTTCCATCATGGTTGTTCCTGTGTCTTTCACTGCACAGCATCTCTTATCATTCCACTATCTAGATTCTTATCAGTTATGGACTTTCTACTTTCATAGCTTTATTAAATAAAACCTTTGGGAGTTTGATGGTTGCTGCCTGGGGCAACTGCTGTTCCAAGAGGAATCACAGCTGACCAGGCTGATGGCTGCTCTCCTGCAGAAATCAGCCTCATTTTCCAGCATGGAAAGCTTCTCTCCCACCTTCCCTTTGGCACATGCTTATTCCAAGGCAGCACTAGGAATACTGATTTTCATGCTTATGTTGCCCTTATAAAGTTGTTTGTTATTTCTTAAGAAATTTTTCAATCTGAACTTTAATAATGCCTGTCACAGAACACTCCAGTGGCTCCCAACTCTCCCAGTGATCTACAAACCTGTCTTACCATTTCCATGTGCTTTGGCAGCAGCTGACAAAGATTTTCCAGTTTGCATTAAGTCAATGCCATTCATCTGATTTGTCAAACCCTGTCAGACTGTTTAGAAATCATTATTTTGAGAGCAGTGATGAGCACAGAGCAGTGTGTGCACTGCACTCCCAGCCACGTGCCCTGCAGTCAGCTCCTACCTGGGAGCTGCTCACCTGAGCACTGCCCCACTTCCAGCTGCAGCTCCTGCACTCGTGGCTCTGTGCACACTGGGGAGGACCCTGCCTGCCAGGCAATGGCTGTAAAATCAGAGCTCCACATGGAAATGGGATGTAAATACCCTCTGCCAAAGCAGGACACAACCTGGATATTCCTTCAGGTAGTAATAACTGCAGTTAGCTTTCTTGGAAAATAATTGAGATCTACAGCTAAAACTATTATTAAAACTGCCAGGTAAGTCAATTTGTCATGTTGATGATTCTGTAATAGTTTAGCAACTCTTTTCCCATTTCTAAGTCATTCATTTACCCACGCTACAATAATGTCCTTTTTTCTTTTAATTTTCACATCCTTCCTTCAAAGTCAAAATCCATTTAACTATCACCTATCTCCTCATATCTTGTCTCCATTTTATTTCACAGTATTTAAATGCCAAATGTGAAATATAGTTCAAAATAAAAGTGCACTTCTTCATTGACTTTTTCTTTTATTGGTGGATTTTCCCCTCTGTAAATAAGGAAGGAATGGACTTATTTTAAAGACAAGTTTTTCCAACTATATATATCTCCAACTACATATATATATATGTGTGTATATATATATCCAACTACTTATATATATTTATATCTATTTTTAAAATGTAATGCCTCTTTGACACCAAAAAAAGTATTATTTCTTTTAATCCATGCTAAGCTGCAACAGTACTACAAGAGTTAATTATTTAGAACAGCAGGCTGTAAAAGGAATAATCCTGTAGGAAATGTGGAGTGCATTATTTCTTTAGTGATCTCTGCTTCCATGGAAACAATTTCTCAGCACAATTCTAAACCTTGTAAAAGTAGGGCACTAGGTCTCTGTAAAGCAGCAATTAAACAACCCGAATACTTTTATCTAGGCCATTAAATACTTTGTCCAGCATCACATGTGATTACAGTGCTCACTGGGATGTTAAACCACCGGCTGCTTCCTGTGGGGATGGATGAAATCCTTATCCCTCACTTCCTTGGGGGGCACAGCACCAGCACAGCACCTCTGCCTCCTGTGCAGACACTCGGGGTGCCCAGCTGTGCCACACCCCCCTTTTGGGGTGCCCAGCTGTGCCACACCCCCCTTTTGGGGTGCACTGTCCTCCTCCACAGCCTCTCTTGGCCCTTCAGCCTCCCCGCCCTCATGGCTCAGCCCTGCCCAGCACACCTGGATCGGATCGGGGGAGGGAATGCGCTGATGGAAAGGGATCTTTCCTCCAGGATGTGCCCCTGCCAGCCCCTCACATTGAACACTGGGGTACCATCCCAGCCCCAGCATCCCTGGATCATCTCCTGCTGGAGCCTAAAGCACAGCGGCTGCAAAACAAGGAGGGAAACACCTCCCTGTCGAGGCACTCCTGCCCGGATGCGCTCCCTGGCGCAAATTCACCAAACGCGCTGCTAAGAAGAGTTTCGCTCCGAGCTCCGAACCTCTCCCGCAGTGCTGTGACAAAGCTCCCTCTGCTGGAACCCAGCTTTACTCTGGCACTCGGTCAGCGCCACCGACACGGCACAAAAACATTCCAGAGACAAGATGTTACAAATACAGACACATCGTTCTGGGTATTGCATGTGCAGCCTTTATTAGTAGACTCTTGTCTGTCATCAGGCAGAAGCAGCAGAGAAGCAAGCAAAGGAAAAAAGTCCTGAATGAATATCAATGGCAACAGTGTTAACTTTTCACTTGGTTATGGATTTTGTTTTTTTCAACTGAATTGTTTTTGGCAAGTTGGTTAGTCTAAAAAAAATAAAAGTCGGGATATTCCCTCCCCTTGCACACAAGATCTGCATCCCTGTGAGGCAGCACTGCTGGTAACTGGGAGAGCAAAACATGATTCAGCCAACAAATGCCCAGAGGGATATTTGCCAGAAGTAACATCTTGGGAGGGGTTGTTTGGGTTTATTTTGTGGGCTTTTGTTAATTTCTTTTTTCATTTCCTAACCTGTTGAATTCCAGTTTTAAGTGTATCATTCTACCCTCTACTCAAGGATTTCTCATGTCCTGAGCAACAACTTGGTATGGTGTAACACTGGTCCTAAGGAAAGGAACAGCAGATTAGTCTGCACAGGTCCACTGAAACAAAGCCTGGATGGGGAAAAAAAGCTTTTTAATACAAAATTTTCATGCCTAAAATGTGTTTGGTAGAATGGGTATATTAATTAAACAGGTTTTTATTTCCTGGGAAGCATGCAACTTCCAAATTCATCTCATTAACCACTCAGTGAAACTAAATGATGAAAAGTAGGTTAGTTTTATTTTCTTACCCTGCCTCCTGTCAACAAAATCATTACTCAGCATCACAACTGTGCTCTTTCCAATTCCTATAGAATTCTGTGTGCTAGACTGGATCCTGATGGTACAAGCATTGTATTTTCTCCACACCACCCTGCAACAAACACTTGGAATTCTGGGGCTTTTATCTGCATATCAAAGGCTCAATCCTGCCCATGTCCTCAGAAAAATTGCTTCAAAAGTCTGGGTTCCTCAAAAATTTCCTTACATAACACCACTGTTAAACACAATAATACAACTGTGTGACTTTACCTCAGTGACCACTAAAGGGGGAAGCAGCCAGGACAGTGTCAGCACCACCTGGGTAATCCTGACCCATCCCTAAAGGGCTGGGAACTGTGTGTGGACAATGAGCAGTATCTGCTTCATGGTGCTGTGACAAAATGTGTTCAAAATTCTCCTCCCAGCAGCTGTAACTGGAACTGTCAGCACAGTGACACTGGGAGATTTTCCAGAAATCTGCAGAACTGCAACACAACTCCCCGTGACTGAGGAGGAGGAGGAGGAGGAATGTTCTCCCACCTGGAGTGCAGCCCAGCCAGGAATCCAGGAATCCTTGCAACAGTGGTGGCCAGGAAGCCCCAGAGATGAGAGTTTAGAGCAAATGCAGACTGAGCCAACAGGCCAGAGAGAGGTGGATACACCAAGTGGTAAATTACACACAGCAGTGAGGCCTCCAGCTGTGCACCAGCACATCTGAACACAGAGAGCACACAACACCCACCAGCACTTTTGAGTCCACAGCTCTTAAAAGTGGGAAAATCTCTGAATTTCAAGGGCTCACATTTTCATCTGCTCAAGTTCTGCTCCCTCCCCTTAGTGACAGAGAGATTCATGAGGCCTGATAAGAATATAACATTAACTTCCCATAAAGGAGTTTCCTCCTTGGGATGCAACTCTATGATTTTAAAGCTTTTCAAACTCTTTATACAAACAAAAAGTTGAAACATATCAAATCTCAAAATTCCATTTATGTTATGTAGAACTATATATATATACACACATATATTTCCTTAAAATAAAAATTGGGTCCACTGTCTCCCCTCTAGATATAAACTCCAAGTCTTGCTTGAAACTTTCAAATATATTTTAGACCTCTCTGTGAAACTCTGGCCAAGATAAACATGTGGAAATAGTAATACCTGTAGACAAGTCAAGTTTCCTTAGTATTTAGAAAGCAACATTTAAAGCACATTTTTTTCTAAAAAGATTCACAGTGATGCAGCTCATGAAACATTTCCAAGTTGCAATCAAGAAATTCCTCAATCAAGATCAATCTGTGAGTGATTTATCTAAATATATACCTGTATGAAATCCTAACTGAGGAACTGATATAAACAAATGTTTTTCTGTTGAACTGTACATTATAGAGAAGACTCTGAATATAAAAGTGGGGATCAAAACCACACATCCATTTTGTGTTCAAAAACACAAATCCTTTTCTGCTTGTAACACTCAGTTTGCCATCAGTCAGGAGCTCTGGTTTCCACAGGAAACAGTGGCAATTAGAAGTGGACAAACCACAATGATCTGGAGAACAACATAAAACCTCCCTATAGAATGGAAGGTCAGAAAGAGGTAACCTGTAGTAAGACAGGAGTTATCATTTCCACTGGAAACAAGCACAGCC